ATAAAAATAACGAAGTATTGTTTCAATAACTTTCCAAATTTTTAATGAAAATTATTAGTACTTGTATGCAAATAAAATTAATAATAAAAGGTCGCTTTATATTCAAGACTCTAATTTTTTCAAAAAGTAAAAATTCTAAAATTGGAAGTGGACTAATATTCGAGCCAAAACCCTATACTGTAACATTTATAGTTTTATTTCCAAAATTTTTGTATATCTCATCCGCATTTTTCCTGCTTTATCTTGTTTTGGATTTAGTATCAATTGCTAAATGGTACCCTTTTCGTACTCATGTTTTTACCTTTTCAAAATATCAGTACTTCGTTTCTTGACAAGAATATTTCAGAAGACAGATTTGTTTCCATAACGTATCCAGACAATATTGTTTGACCAGACGGTATTGTCCGTTCATCGATAAATGACCTTATACGAAAAGGACCTCACCCCATTTGCTTTTTAAGTCAGTTTCAATCGGTCCATTACATTTATTGTGGCTGGCAGGGTGGTCCAGTTTGTTTCGTTCGTTTTTATCGTGCAAGTCGTCAGATTTCCTCCCTGAATATATATAGCTCGTTTAATTAGAACAGAGTATGTCATTGGTTTCCTTATCCTGTTGTATTAAAGCCGCTTTACAAGGCAACGTGCCCAAAATTTTTCTTACTGAGCAATTGCCGGTACTATGTTCCGGTTATCGATAATTTTTATGCTATATACTGACACAGAGTACGGTTGAAAAAAAACTCTATATATATAAAACACAAGTAAATAGAACTAAAATTATCCAAAAACCGATACATTATACCAGACATAAGCAAATGCCCCTCATTTTGAAGTTACTTGTGGCTCTTGCTGAAAGTGTTAACGATTAAACTGTACAAACGTCCGATACGAAACAGAAGTTACGTTATTTCAATTCAAAACTTCTCGCTGAAAGCAATTAATAGATGACCGGCGTGGCTCTATCGTTAAAGGAAAAGTGTGATGTACAGGGGCAAGCCATTACTAATAATTTGACATGGAGAGCATATANAATGTACATTTCGACTTCGATTTGACGTCATTACTTCAGTTTTACAATGAATAATTCTAAAGAATGACGTCAAATTTAGGTAAAAATATGCATTATCCCAACCAATCGAACAAACATTAAATTAGTATCAGATGGCCATTACCAGACCTTCATAATTTATCAAGAAATCGGGACAACATCCACTGATTTCTGACCTATGCCAGTTGAGCCCATTACGGAACGGATTGTTCATAATGAGCATAATCATGGCTGCCCATATCCTCTTTGATGCGCTTGTATTAATTCATACAAGCTATATTTTAATTTCATATAAATTACATAAGCTTTGTTTTTCGTGTCGGCATTATCCTAAATTATTATTTTAATGATTCAGGATAATGCCGACATGGAATGGAAATATATCAGAACCAGACAATGTGCTACATATTTTTATGTAGACGAAGCCGTACCCAGTCCTTTCAATTTAATGCTAAATTGGTATGAAATATGTTCTAAGGTAAATTCTGTAATAGAAGCAACAAAAGTCTGCAATATAACAAGACTATTTACACCACCCANATGGAATGGAAATATATCAGAACCAGACAATGTGCTACATATTTTTATGTAGACGAAGCCGTACCCAGTCCTTTCAATTTAATGCTAAATTGGTATGAAATATGTTCTAAGGTAAATTCTGTAATAGAAGCAACAAAAGTCTGCAATATAACAAGACTATTTACACCACCCAAACGAGAATACTTCTCTTGGCTGGTATGTAAATTATTTTAGTCATNCTGGCAGGGTGGTCCAGTTTGTTTCGTTCGTTTTTATCGTGCAAGTCGTCAGATTTCCTCCCTGAATATATATAGCTCGTTTAATTAGAACAGAGTATGTCATTGGTTTCCTTATCCTGTTGTATTAAAGCCGCTTTACCAGGCAACGTGTCCAAAATTTTTCTTACTGAGCAACTGCTGGTACTATGTTCCGGTTATCGATAATTTTTATGCTATCTACTGATACAGCGTACGGTTGAAAAATAACTCTATATATATAAAACACAAGTAAATAGAACTAAAATTATCCAAAAACCGATACATTATACTAGACATAAGCAAATGCCCCTCATTTTGAGTTACTTGTGGCTCTTGCTGAAAGTGTTAACGATTAAACTGTACAAACGTCCGATGCGAAACAGAAGTTACGTTATTTCAATTCAAAACTTCTCGCTGAAAGCAATTAATAGATGACCGGCGTGGCTCTATCGTTAAAGGAAAAGTGTGATGTACAGGGGCAAATCATTACTAATAATTTGACATGGAGAGCATATATTTTAAATTACAAAAATTAAAAATATGATTAAAATTGCATCCAGATGTTGAGACGATGTCACAATAAATAATTGCTAGTTCGCTAGTTTACTCGTTACTAGCATTTATATTTTTTTTCCACACCTATAAAATTAAACCTTTTGCCATTTTATAATAATTAAAAATATGAAAAATTTATATAACAAAATCTCATAACAGATGGCGCTCACACAATTTTATTTATTATAATGTAATTAAAAATATTAAAGCTATTTTCTAAAAATCTCACAACAGCCGAGAAAGTTACGCAACTCGTTGGTTTTGATAGATTTTCTTTTATAAAACAGTTACATTTTTTTGAAACGAACGACCTTTTTCTCAGTTTCAATATAGAAAGATCTATACAGTATTTGATTGTTTCGTGTAAAATACATACACGATATTTTTTATCGGTCAGGTAAATTCATAAAATTCACTTATTTAATATACAAGTTACTTTAACGTTTACGTAACTAAACTATAATACGCATATTTCATATAACCAACGTTCGATGACGTCAGGTAACCGCTTTTAAAATGACGTCAAATTAACGAAATATTACGAAATTTAGTAAAAATTGCGGTGTCGGTCAATCGGAAAATTCGTCGGAAAATACTCGACGAACCAGAGGAAGGATTTCTTCTAGTTCTTATTTAATGTATGTCACTTTAATTAACGTTTACGTAACTAAACTATAACACGCATATTTCATATAACCAACGTTCGATGACGTCAGGTAACCGCTTTTAAAATGGCGTCAGATTGACGAAATTTTACGAAATTTAATAAAAATTGCGCTGTCGGTCAATCGAAAAATTCGTCGGAAAATACTGGACGAACGAGACGAAGGATTTGTTCTAGTTTTGGGGGATGGCGAGGTAAAGATGACGTTCGATTATAGAAAATCTCGCTTCTAACCCCTCGTGGAGAATGGAAACCGAAGATGGAGAGTGGTAGGGAGTCTGTCGATTCCAATCCGTCGTCACTCGGGGGATAGAAACGTAAAAATTGCCGATATTCAGCCTTAAAATTCAAAAAGAATCCATGACGTCAATCGCATTCGAATTCGTTACGCGCTTTCTAATCTCCATAGAAACGGCAACAATTGCCGTTTCTATGGAAACGCGTATTGTTGCAACACGATTTTGCGTCACTTTGCACGTTTTTCGCTTGCCGGACGGACGTGTGCGCTCTGTGCTCTGGTTTTTGCTGTGTTTTTTGCTTTTTTCAGTGTTTTTTGCTACCGGAACGTGGTTTTAAGAAGACTTGTGGACGCCGACATTACACCAAGTAAGATTTTAATTAGAATTTAGCTAGCTTTAAGATTTTATTTTCGTTTCGTTTAGTGCAACTTTCGGAGACGACATCGGCCGACTCGGACTTTGCATATTTGCGTTTAAATCTGCCGTCGCTTGTGTTTTTCGTTCGAATTACCATCCGAAACGCATCTATTTCGACTTTTAAACCAGCCGCCACATTGGAAAGCGACCGAAGCGCCGAAAACGACGGACGCAAAGGATTAAGTATTTGTTCATTGGTTTATTTTCGTAATTAATTAATTTAGATTATATTTTATAAACAAGCTCAAAGAATAAGGATTATTTGCAAATATAGAAATTTAATTAAAACTTATTTAATACTAACTTTAAATACGAATTCCATCGTAAAGCGTATCGTAATTTTAACTAAAATATACTCGTAACATTGTCCGATGGACGGAGACCGTATTCTGAAGCATGGGATGTTCCTTCGACACATCCGAGACATCAAAAATATCGCCCTTTGACCTCCGACTTTTCCATTGAATCTATGTATTAGTTACAACGCTTTTCAATGGCTTGCTTTGCGAGAATTATCTTGTCTGCAGCTAAAACACATCTAATACACTTAACAGTTAAAACACATCTAATACACTTAACTATACATGCTGGACACAAAGAATTCTTTTCCTTGAGCTGTTTGTCTCTTTTCACAATGTGGTCATTTCTGAGTGCAGTCCATCTTCCACAATTACGTAACCCTCTGCAAATGCTTTGTGCCACTTAAACCTTCGTGTTCCGGCTGCGGACACGCCTTGCGTTTTCGTCGACTCTCGTACGGAATTTCTTCGCACGAAACTCTCTTAAATGCCATCGTTGCGTTTAGGTGACGCACGTTAGGGTAAATTGCTCTAGAACGAAACATTCGTTACGACTTGGGCTCGAGATCGAGTATGAGTGCCTTTTTCTGTCTTGTCTTTACTTTTCTGTTGTACAAATACGAATTACACGTAAGAGAGTTTATTCGTTCCGGGTCGGTCGTCTCTACTGCAAATGAAGTTCGAACCTTCTAGCAATTTCCGGTAGGATCTAACGAGAGCTATCCGAATTCCGATCCGTCATGAGTATAATCTTAAACTTTTTCTGCGTTAAGTATATCCGAATCCATTAATTTAATATATATTGTTTTTTTGTTTCTTTACAGAATGAAGAGCTGGCGGTTCTGGCGTTGGCTGCGGCCCAAGAAGATGAAGAAGTGTNTTATTATTTACGCTATAAAAATATAAATTCTCGAACTTTTTTCAATATCGGTTATTTTCTATTTTGAAATTGCATCATTAATTATTTGTAAATAAATGATAATTATATTTAAACTATCGTAGGTACAATATCATTTTGGAATTGATGCTAACGACAACCTTCATATTTTGGTTTAAATCGTGGATTGATATACATCACATGGGAGCTAAAGATGTCCCTAGACAATTTTGGTCACCAAATGACTCCACTCTCATACACGAAGCTTTACTAAGTTTTTCCGGAGTTCTAGCTATTGGAAAAATGCTATATTATTTTCAACAAAGTTTTCATTTGGGACCCATTCAGGTAATAATACAAAACGTATTAATTTCTAAGTACAGTCCAATCTCGATAATCCGAAACATACGGAGCTGAATAAGGAGATTGCCGGATTATTGAAAGTAAGATGAATCAATAGCACATAAATAAATTTGATAGTGCGGAGTAAACTGTTAATTAATAATAGCAAAATACGTGTTGAATTTCTGATGAAAATATTCTGTCTTTGCCCATAAATTGTTTTACCAAGTTGGTGCATTCCACTAAACCTAGTGGAAGTAGTGGTAGGTGTTTTTTGAAAATTTTGAGGGATTGATTTTATATTTATATAGAACTTACTATGTTATAAGATACTATAAGGTACCTTTTTTAAAGAGCTTAATAATTTTTAATATCGTGCCCAAGCTTGAGTGTTCGAGCTCAGGTTCAATATCATGCAACCTTAAGTGGGAAATGGAGTTTGAACGGGTGGATTGTCTAAAACTTGGCAATAGTGCCGGCAATATCCCAGTCGACTAGCGTTGAATATCTAGAAGTGTCGAGATTGTACTGTAATTGCTCGGTAAATAAACTTCGATCAGGAAAGATTATTTCTTTGTGGAATGCGTATTTATTTAAGTAAATAACGTAGATAAAAATGTCATAATTAAATTTCCTAGGTCTCTTTAACACGAATGCTGGTAAATATCGCATGGTTCTTGGCCGGAGTTTTCATTCTGCTGAGCACCATTGCCATTTGCATGACAAGTTTATATTCACACTATAAAGGAATGGAACGAAAAGAAAACGGCGGGGAGATAATTCTTCAAGATGCTGCTTTCACTTCGTAAGTAAATTTACCTTACTAATTTAAATAAAATAAGCAAGGATAGACTACTAAATTTTGAAAATTCTATAGTTTATCTTCTTCGATGAAGACTTTATTCTGGGCTCTGTTTGGATTAATCGATCTCGATTCTGCAGATGTAATAGTTGGGATAGAAACCGAAACATCACCCGAAGTAATCATTCACCACAGTTTTACCCAGGCTATCGGGACTTTATTATTTGGCAGTTATCATGTGCTAATGATTATAATTTTTATTAACATATTGATTGCTGTTCTAACAAATACTTTCCAAAAAGTCGTGGTAAGAACTTTCATCTTTCATATTAAGGGTCTATTTGATTGGTTGGGATAGTGTACATTTCGACTTCGATTTGACGTCATTACTTCAGTTTTACAATGAATAATTCTAAAGAATGACGTCAAATTTAGGTAAAAATATGCATTATCCCAACCAATCGAACAAACATTAAATTAGTATCAGATGGCCATTACCAGACCTTCATAATTTATCAAGAAGTCGGGACACCATCCATTGATTTCTGGCTTATGCCAGTTGAGCCCATTACGGAACGGATTGTTCATAATGAGCATAATCATGGCTGGCCATATCCTCTTTGATGTGCTTGTGTTAATTCATACAAGCTATATTTTAATTTCATATAAATTACATAAGCTTTGTTTTTCGTGTCTGCATTATCCTAAATTATTATTTTAATGATTCAGGATAATGCCGATATGGAATGGAAATATATCAGAACCAGACAATGTGCTACATATTTTTATGTAGACGAAGCCGTACCCAGTCCTTTCAATTTAATGCTAAATTGGTATGAAATATGTTCTAAGGTAAATTCTGTAATAGAAGCAACAAAAGTCTGCAATATAACAAGACTATTTACACCACCCAAACGAGAATACTTCTCTTGGCTGGTATGTAAATTATTTTAGTCATTTAAATAATTGGATCATCAGGATTTTTTGCAATAAAATTTACTCATAATGAATTTCAGAAACGTTGTTACAAGATAAAAGAAGCAGAGATTGATGACGAGGAAGCAAACAAAGTGAGTTTTATTTGTAAATGCAATATATATTTTAAAAGCTGAAATTTGATCATTGTAGGTAAATAATTCCTTTTTCTTCCCTACGAAATAGGAACTGATGAGAAAAATTATGCAAAAGTACCTACGAACAAAAGCCAATATTAATCACGATTTACACAATATTAACTCTAATAAAATGATATAAATTTTTAAAATGTATTTTAATTCGAAAATAAAATTATCCTTTGATGAATCAATTTCAGTACAGTACA